TGCCTATGTACACACCCACAGCTACACCTGCCTACTGGATGAATACTTTGTGATGATAAGAACAGAAGAGAAATATAATGAGAAATGGCATCTGTTGTCAGATCTATACATTTATGAGCATGATATATATATAGTGTAGATAAAAGAGAAAAATATAGATATATAGGTCATTCATTCATGATATTTTTACCATTGTGTTACACATTTATTTCTAGATTAAATGATGAAGTCTCGGAGAAAAAGTCCTTATTTTGTCATTTAATAATAATCGAGATTTGATTAGAAAGATTTCTTAGTTATTTCAACGGGTATGTTCACTCGTTCTAATAGCAGTATCAATTCGATTTTATTATTTATCATCTTTAATTTTGTAATGGCTTGACTCTCCATACATTGTGTAAAAGAAAACTATATGATACGGTAAGTTTATATTTATTATCTTTTTCGTAATAAAGATTAACATATAATTATGAAAGTAGACAATCGAACTATATCATTACAATTAGAATTCGTGCTCGAAAATGATGTCTGAAGCATAAGTTAGTTTATAGACAAAAATCATTTTTACTCAGATAATTTTCTGTTTAGAAATTCTATGATATCCGTTCTCTTCACATATCACGGGTGGCGGTGCGATTGAAGAGAAGACAGCCACCCACCTAAGCACACACTCTCAAGTTTATATCTTGAATTCTGTGTGCAATGGCAGCCAATTTGATAAATCGTTTATGGCAATCATTTCTTCAATTAAATCTTTTCAAAAAGTCATCGAGTACTGATCAAACTCTTTCAAAAGAACTACTTTCTACTCGTATATATGTCTGTTTATTACTTGTATCTTTAATTGCAGTTGCAATAATTACTTCATTTATGATTCGAACTATTGAGAAAACTGAAGATACACCTTCTCGTACACGATTTTTACAATTAACGAATAGCTATTCAAATACTTTGTATTGTCCATGTTCAAACCATGCTATTACATACAGTACATTTGTTACAACTGAAGTTGATTTTCATCAAGTTTGTTCAAGTGAATTTATTGAACAAATATGGATTGATAAGTTATTTACAAATGAAAATATTTCATTTGAATCTACAGAAGATTTTCGTGTTACTTTGAGTTTCTTTTGGCAAATCATTGCAGGTTTATGTATTGCAAGTCGAAGAAGTTGGGATGATGCTGTAGCAAATTTTAATACATCACGTATTCTTACTCCAGCAGTATCTGTCGAAGAAACTATTCGAAGTCAAGTTCAAACAACATTTAGTAGTCAAATCAATTTGACTCAAACAGCACTGGCTCATACTTTACTTGCTATTCGTCTTATGACT